CAAAATAAATATAATTGTGCATTTTCTGCTTTCTATTGATAATAAATATATGAAATAAGTAGTCAACTTAAGCTTAAAAAATTATATAATTTAATATTTCGTTATTTAAACATTTGTATTAGCCTCAGTTTGGACTAAAAGCCTATCTGCATATAATTCAATTAATTAAGTTGTAAATTTCAGCAAAATTTATTTAAAGTCAAAGAGAAATAAATATAAATATCTTTACCAAAATGTATACAGTTTAAATTTGAAAATTTAAAATGATTACAATGGAATGAAACAAGCCTTAAATCCTGAACAGAACTATTCAAACCAGTTATTTGCTTTTGATTTCTATAAAGATTGCGAGTCTGACTGTTTCCACTCGATCGACGAACGTAATGAGCTCGAACTTGTACTGACCATAAGGTAAATTTGGAGGAAACTTGGTGGCATCCAATACGAAATTCTTTGCGTAATAATATCCCTAAAAATAAATATCCCTATAAAATAAATTGATAATATTAAAACAACAAAATTTTGGATTTTTGTGTTGAAAATTGAAAAATCATTGAATAAACAAAAACAGATATAATTATGTTATTATTAAAATCTCGTTTTCATTTTTGTAATTAATATAATATACATGTCAACATTTTATTGTTATGCATATTAAACTAAAGCTAATCGACTCGAATATTATATAATTCAGTGGAAACTATTGTTCGATATTAATTAAATTTAACAAAAATTTACCTAATTTTTGCAATATTTTTTTTTCCAAATTTAATTCTTAGGACCACAATATTATATATTTAACACTTGATGAAAGTAACTAAAGTTGGTATACGTGGCAGTAAAATGTGCTATGACAGCTGTCAATGTCATTCCATCAACAATTTGTTACACAACTTACTATATGAAATAAATTGAAAAATCGTTGCTTAATAAAATATGTTTCGTTAAATAATGCTATTAATATTTCAATATTTACCTATTATACTTGTATCTTGTTGAATACTTGAAGATCAAAAAAATGTTGTACTTTATTCGAGGTTTGATGAAACCAAATGAAGTATAATCTCATATTCTTTCCGTGTTTATATATGGAAAATGTTAGAAAATTGATGCTTCTAACATAAAATTAACTATGCATTTGGTACACAAGTTCTAATCGACTCGAATATTAAATAATTCATTGGAAACTATTGTCCTATATTAATTAAATTTAACAAAAATTGACCTAATTTCACTTTTTTTATATAAATTTTATTTATTTATGAGAAATTTTGCAATAATTGTTTTTCCAAATTTAATTCTTAGGACCACAATATTATATATTTAACACTTGATGAAAGTAACTAAAGTTGGTATACGTGGCAGTAAAATGTGATATGACAGCTGTCAATGTCATTCCATCAACAATTTGTAAAAAAAAAAATAAAAAATTACACAACTTACTATATGAAATAAATTGAAAAATCGTGGGTCAATAAAAATTGTTTCGTTAAATAATGCTATTAATATTTCAATATTTACCTATTATACTTGTATCTTGATGAATAATTGAAGATCAAAAAAATGTTGTAGTTTATTCGATGAAACCAAATGAAGTATAATCCCATATTATTTCCGTGTTTATATATGGAAAATGTTAGAAAATTGATGCTTCTACCATAAAATTAACTATGTATTTGGTACACAAGTTCTATACGATTGGAATCAAGGAAGTGGTAGTCTACAATTACTTGTTGCAGTCACATATTTAAACTGCAGCTGTAAAAAAAAATAATCAGTTTTTCATTTTGGTTTTATAGTCGATGGACAGAATGCACCGGAATATCTTAATACTAATCCTCTCGACTCAAGTTCTGGTAAGCAAAGTCTTTTCATATGCAACCTGAATGATGGTTGAAGATTATTACAGACGTTCGAGCAAAATGATTACACTATTAAAATCCATCACTTGATGAAGAATTACATAAATCCAAAGTATTTCAATAACTACTATCTTGTCTATGGTCTCTACAACCGCACTCACAGAGCGATATCTGCGAAGGCACAACTTTACAAAGAAGTGAAGTCACCAGGATTTAAGGTTTCTCAACGTTAAATTCTCTTTATTCTTATTAATACAATAATTGTTATCTTTTAGGTTTTGAGTGAAGTGTATATTGGTGTTCAGAACGTGTACAGGGCGTTCGCCCCATTGCGGTTTATGATGGACGCGTGTCAGGTGCTCAGGTCGAACCTTTTTGGTGTCGATCTAGTGAAGACGCTGGGAAATATTACAAATTGTCCCATAACACCGGTACTCGTACAATATAAATTTATTATATTCAATTTACTTAAAATATTTGTTCGTTTTTCAGGGTCTTTACTGCTTGAACAACTATTACATTGATGTTACCAAATTTCCACCAAACTTTCCAGCAGGTCATTATATGGTTCACATTACATTATTCAACTTCAAAGAGATTATGACTAATTTTACAGTAGCATATGAAGTCAAATACAAATAATTTTTACATTATTTTTTTTTGAATTATCAATGAACACTTGATTTTATGCTATATAGATGCCCCACGTTGGTTGCCAAAATTATAAAAATACATATTATTATAAATATTGACTTAGGTCTTCTGTAACGTTTTCTATTAATGTTAAAATAAATTTTGCAATTACCTTAGTGTTACTATTTGATAAACATATTTTATTTTGATGACTCTATAGTAGGGTTTCCCAAACTGTTGAAAGTTGTTTTTCTCATATTCTTAAATTTTATTGATTATTTGTATTACCTACCTAAATATTACCTATCCTAAAAAATAAACGTTGCAGAAAAAGTTTGGGAATCCCTGATCTACACTACATTTATTACCAGACTTACATTCAATGCATAATTAACATGCGAGTTGATTGGAATCAAGGAAGTTGATGTTTACAATTATTTAATGGACATTAAAATTGCAAATCTAAATATAATATATTGTGCAATCGCATTCTAGTCATAGTCGATAGAGACAGGATGCACCAACATATCCTGATAATAATGTTCTTGAGTTCTCAAGTGCTGGTAAGCTAAATCTTCCCATAATGTAACCAAATGATCATTGAACATAATTTCAGACGTATGAACAAAATGATTATATCATAAAAATTCATCACTTGCAGAGGACTTACGTGAATCCAAAGTATTTCAGTAACTACCGCATCGTCTATAGTCACTACAACCGCACCCACAGAGCTATATCTGCATATGGAGAAGTTTACAAAGAACTGAGCTCTCCAGGATTTAAGGTTGCGTAACATTGAATTGTATTTGTATGATTTATTTGTTAACTTTTAGGTTTTGAGTCAAGTCTACATTGGTATTCAGAATGTGTACAAAATCTTTGCTCCTTTACGGTTTATGGTGGATGCGTGTCAGGTGCTTAGATCGAACCTCTTTGGTGTTGATCTAGTGAAGACGCTTGGAAATGTAACAGATTGTCCCATACAACCGGTACTTCTACTTCTTCAAAGATATTATATTTGATTCGGTTAATGCATTGTTTTGCTCGTTTCAGGGTAATTACTACGTGAACAACTATTTCATTGATTCTACCAAATTTCCACCTAACTTTCCGGCAGGTCATTATATGGTTCACCTGACTTATTTCAACTACAAAGTAATTCTTACCAATTTCACAGTAGCCTACGAAGTCAAATACAAATAATTGTTTATTTCGTTAAAAAAGGAAACTTTCAAAATCGTTAATTCTAATTTAAATATTTGTTTTGGTGATTATATATAATAAGAATTATATTCTATTAATAAAGTTACTTAGAAATTATTGATCAAATGTAATTAAATTCTTCAATTAAAATTGTTTTTTTTTTGGAATCTTCAATTACGAAACCAAAATATATCCCAATAAAGTATTACGTCATATTATTTATATTATACTGCAACTGTTGCAAATAATTAATAATTGATGCTATAACATGATCATTATATGCATTTGGTAAACAAGTCCGTATTGATTGGAATCAAGGAAGTTGCATGGACTTTTAAACTGCAGATATAAATTAAATTCTGTTTTGCAAACGTATTTCGGTTATATTCATTAGACAAACTGCACCGAGAAATCCTTATGCTGATGCTCTTGAATCAAGTGCTGGTAAGCAAAGTCTTCTCATCTGTAACAGAATGATAATAGAAGACAATTACAGACGTATGAAGAAAAAGCTTATTACATAAAAGTCCATAAAAGTTACGTGAATCGGAAGTATTGCAGTAACTACAAACTTTTTTTTTTGTAGAGGAGAGCAAACCTTAGATAGGCACCATGGGTGGAGTCGTGGTACTGTGGGATTCTTACCGCATTAAAACCTCTCCCCTTCTTCGTCAGCATACAGGACCTGTATCACTGTTCTACTCTGCAATGTTGATTGTTTTTGCCTGTTTGGCACTTCCCTTAGATCATGTTAATGCTGGCCTCCACTGCCACTATCCTCCGCTCGTCTTCTTCTTTGCTTAGTAGCACCTCTGATATGTACGTCACTACAATATCCCAGCTCTCCGCACTCTTCAGCATTTCACTGACAACATTTTCTGGCTCTAGCAGAACTCTCAATTCTGCCTCCGCTTTCTACTTCCTTCCAACCCATCTGCAGCACCTAAAAAGCGTGTGCTCAGGACTATCGTCCTCCTCACAGTACAAGCACCTTTCGTCCTCCTTCTTCGCGATGAAGTGCAGGTACTTGCCAAAGCATCCATGGCCAGACAGCGCCTGGCTCAGGTGAAATGTTGTTTCACCATGATTTCTGCTTAACCAAGCCTCTATTTGCGGGATTAGGAGTCCAGGTTCCTTTCTCCGACCTGTGCCATTTATCTTGCCATTTTTGCAGCAGTCTGACTCTAGCATCCGCTGTGGTCGCGTCCTTCTGCCTCTCACCTCTCTCCAGAACAAGGAGCTCTATTGGTGGCACACCAGCTATCACCTGCACTGCGTCTTGAAAAATTGTCCTATACGATCTGCATTCCCATATAGGAGCAGCATACAGCTTAATAGATTGTGCCACTACTCCTAGCAATCTTTTCTTGCTAGTCTTCGGTTCACCCTTGTTATGCATCAACCTGCTTACAGCTGTAGTTATTTCTAAAGCCATGATATGCTCGGCGTAGGTCAGTAACTACAATCTAGTGTATGCTAAATATCTGCAGATGGAGAAATTTACAATGAATTGTACACCAGGATTTAAGATTTCTCAAGAATTAAATAATAGTTTTTTTAATCAGATATTCAGGGTTTGCTTTATTTATCTGTTCTACGAAGAGAAATGGGAAGATTTTAATAAATTAGCTAATATTTTTTATGTATATTTTAATAAAATTTATAAGAAATGGAAAGTAAAATTTATTTTAAATTATTATACTTCAGTATATAAATGAATTATTGATCAAATATATAAATTTCTAAACGCACAAGCAATTTTTACTATTATTAATTTAAAGGTATTTAATTTTGCTATTAATAATTATATAATATTAGAAAATGTTTATTTTATCATAGTTTACTCAAAATTTAACAAAAGTTAAAAATTTCTTCAATTTTGAGATTTATTGAGACTACTGAATTAAGTATTACATCATATTATTGTATTTGTATTTATTTATATACTGCAACTTTTGCAAATGCAAATTACAAGCAATTTTTACTATTATTCATTTAAAGCTATTTAATTTTGCTTTTAATAATTGTATTATATTAGTAAATGTTCATTTTATCATAGGTTACTCAAAATTAAACAAAAGTTAAAAATTTCTTCAATTTTGAGATTTATTGAGAAGACTAAATTAAGTATTACATCATATTATTGTATTTGTATTTATTTATATACTGCAACTTTTGCAAATGCATAACATGATCATTATATGTATTTGTTAAAAAAAGTCTATTGATTGGAATCAAGGAAGTTGTAATTAATTACTCGTTGCATGGACATTTAAACTGTAGATATAAATTAAATTCTGATTTGCAAACGCATTTTGGTTATATTCAATAGACAAAATGCATCGAAACGTCCTGATACTAATGTTCTTGACTCAAGCGCTGGTAAGATAAATCTTCACATAATGTAACAGAATGATCATTGAAGATAATTACAGACGTATGAACAAAATGCTTATACCATCAAAATCCATCATTTGCAGAAGACTTACGTGAATCCAAAGTATTTTAATAACTACTACTTCGTGTATGCTCACTACAATCGCACTCACAGAGCGATATCTGCGAAAGGACAACTTTACAAAGAAGTGAACTCACCAGGATTTAAGGTTTGTTTCAACTTTAAATTAACTTTTTTTTTTATTAATTCAAGTTTTGTTAACTCTTAGGTTTTGTGTCAAGTCTATTTAGGTATGCAGAAAACGCAAAAGGTTTTCGCCCCAATACGGTTTATGGTGGACGTTTGTAAGGTACTCAAGTCGAACCTTTTTGGTGTTGATCTACTGAAGACTCTAGGAAATATTACAAATTGTCCCATGAAAACGGTACTTTATTTCCGTATCTTCGACACGGATAATTTATTTTTTGCTTGTTTCAGGGTGTCTACTACGTGAAACACTTTTACATTGATGCTACTCAATATCCACCAAATTTTCCTGCTGGTTATTATACGGTTCGCATCACTTTATTCGACTACAAAGAGATTATGACTAATGCTTCTGTATCCTACGAAGTGATATACCATTAAACGTTTGTCATATTAAAGCAGTAGAATTAAGTAATGATATTTAAATATATCATTAGAAAAAACACATAAGTTGTATAAAATTATAATTAAATAAATATTTTTTTCATTTAAAAATTTCATTAATAAAAAAAACACTGAAGTTGTATCAAATTGTAATTAAATAAATGTTTTTTTCTTTTATCATTGCTTTACAAAGAGAAGTTGAAAGATTTTAATAAATTATATAATATTTCTATGTATATTTCAATAAAATTGATAAAAAAAATTAAAAAACAGTCACATCAAAACAGTGGAATAATAAATAATGACATTTAAATATTTCATTAATAAAAAAAAAACACAGAAGTTGTATCAAATTGTAATTAAATAAATGTTTTTTTCTTTTATCATTGCTTTACAAAGAGAAGTTGAAAGATTTTAATAAATTATATAATATTTCTATGTATATTTCAATAAAATTGATAAAAAAAAACAGTCACATCAAAACAGTGGAATAATAAATAATGACATTTAAATATTTCATTAATAAAAAAAAACACATAAGTTGTATCAAATTGTAATTAAATAAATGTTTTTTTCTTTTATCATTGCTTTACAAAGAGAAGTTGAAAGATTTTAATAAATTATATAATATTTCTATATATATTTCAATAAAATTGATAAAAAAATTAAAAAATAGTCACATCAAAACAGTGGAATAATAAATAATGACATTTAAATATTTCATTAAAAAGAAACACAGAAGTTGTATCAAATTGTAATTAAATAAATGTTTTTTTCTTTTATCATTGCATTACGAAGAGAAGTTGAAAGATTTTAATAAATTATATAATATTTCTATGTATATTTCAATAAAATTGATAAAAAATTTAAAAAAAGTAATATTTATGACAGCACAGATAAAATTGTTTAAAAAATAGTTCTTTAATTGAATTTATCAAAGTTATAAATTTGTAAACTTACCAGCAAGTTTTTGTATTATTATTTAATTATTTGTGGCGCTTACTTCAGCCCGGATATGACGTCAATTACCAACCCGGTACGGTACGCCCTACTCCAGCCCGCTCTTCCGCTTTTCTTGTGTCTTAATACCATGTAAAGTTCTCTGTATTATCTCGTGTGTATTCTCTGTGTTGGCTCTCCAGCTTCTTTGATCTGCGATTCAACTATTTTCTTTCACTGTAAATCTGCTGCTATCCTTAACACTGTCATTGTCCATCGATTTGGCTGAAGGTCCATATGCTGAACTTCATTCATTTCACTGTCCATCTGTGATGAACGATGGCCCTATTGTTGCAAGCACCGAGAGGGCTCACAAAGGGCCTGACTTGACCAGGATTTGAACCTGTGACCACTGGCACGTGGGTAAGGCGACTTAACCATTCGGCCCAAACTTTATTTAAATTTAATTTTTGGTGACAATTGCTAATAAGAATTCTATTTTTTCAATAAATGTTCATAACTTACACCAAATTAATGACATTCTTCAATTAAGATTTCAATGTTGTCTTGTCTTTATAAAATTAACAAAGATCAAAACTTATTTCAATTTCGAGACTAAATAAAATCAAATTAAATATTACCTCATGTTATTGTATTCGTGTTTATTTAAGTACTGCAACTATTTCAAATGCAGAAAATATGTAGTTAATATTATATTTTTTTATGCATTTGGTAAACAAGTAAATCTCGATTGGAATCAAGGAAGTCGTAGTCTACAATTACTCTTTGTATGAACACTAGAACAGCAAATCTAAAAAAGATCTATTTTGCAAACGCATTCTGGTCATAGCCGATAGACAGTATGCATCGACCTATACTAATACTGATGCTCTTCAGCCAAGCAATGGTAAGCAAAGACCTCTCATTTGTAACTTGAATGATCGTTGAAAACTATTACAGACGTTCGAGCAAAATGATTACACTATAAACATCCATCACTTGAAGAGGACTTATGTGAATCCGAAGTATTTCAGTAACTATCACATCGTTTATAATCACTACAACCGTACCCACAGAGCTATATCTGCCCATGGAGAAGTTTACCAAAAACTGAGCTCACCAGGATTTAAGGTTTTTCATAATTTAATCAATTATTTCTATCAATCCAGCGTTTGCTATCTCTTAGGTTCTGAGTCAAGTATATATTGGTATTCAGAACGTGTATAAGGTCTTCGCCCCAATACGGTTTATGTTGGACGTGTGTCAGGTGCTCAGGTCGAACCTTTTCGGTGTTGATCTAGTGAAGACACTTGGAAATGTCACAAATTGTCCCATAATACCGGTATTCCTACAATATAAATGTATTATATTTGATTTGCTTAATTTATGAACGCATGTTTCAGGGTTTTTACTACGTGAACAACTATTACATTGATTCTACCAAGTTTCCACCTAACTTTCCGGCAGGTCATTATATGGTTCACTTAACATTATTCAACTACAAAGTTATTCTCACTAATGTTTCAGTAGCATACGAAGTCAAATACAAATAATTGTTACATAACAAAGAATGGAATCAAATATATTTTTATTGCATCAAATTTCTTTATGTATATTTATATCATTAGTTATTTTACCTTAAATTCACCGAATTCTATCGTCTATATAAAATAGTAAACTTACTATATCAGAGAACACAAAAAACAGTATTGGAAGTTCTTTGCAACAGAATGATTAATGAGTAATTATATTACTATATACACAAATATTTTTGGTCATTTCCACAAAGTTTCAGCTCACATTAATGTATTACTAAGGTGTTTCTGTTCATATTTTTTTGTATGGAATTTTTATACAATACCCAAAACATATATACTTTTGAATTAATAAATTGGCATGAGTTTTCAAGAGAAAATTGAAAAAAAAAACAGAAATTCTGAAAAATTCTCAGATTTGTTTTAAATATTTAATTTCTTTACTGAAGGTGAATTTATTTTTTTTAAATTGTATTGATGATAGTTTATTATGAGACAATTTCTTTGAATTCAATTTTATTCAGTTTAAATACTTCATGATGGAAATAATTAAAAAAAATCGAAGGTTGTTTTTTTTTGGATACTTCAAGGTTGTGTGAAAAATTTGTCTTTTTTTATCACCCAATATAAATTATACAATTAACACAATATTCGTAAACCGTTTGATCAGATCTACAAGCGCCAGATTGCATTCGGAAATAATTTAGACACAATAATGACACCTCTTGTTTATCCACAATTAGTCTTGTTTTTTCCTATAAAAATTTCATTTTTTTTGCGTACTCAATAACAAAGTTCAAGTTCAAACTGATTTTCAACGAGAAATGGGAGTATTTAAGTATCGAAACCTGCTGAAAAGGGGACAGTTTTACAGTTTAACGCGCGGAGATGAAGTACGCGTACATAGTTATTTTGTTCATTTTAAACCGAACT